GGGAAAAACTCCCATTTGATTTAAGGTGCTTGTGCTTTATCCTACCTGGTCTTTTCATTGGAAGACTCTCACGAATTATTTTCCTTAATCCAACTGGATTTGGATTGTTACACAGCAGCAGTTCCTGTCATCTCTTCCAGGAGCAGATTGAGCTGAGCAGGAAGGTATAATTTTGTGCCAGTGGTGTAGGTTATGCTTCTGGGAGAGTTTGGGACCTAGGCAGGAAGAGACTTGGTACCAGCAGCGTACTGTTGGAATCGTCTCTCATATGCCAAGCTCTGGTGGTAAGGAGGAGTGGGGAAAGATTCCAATGACATTTGAAAGTCACGCCTGCATCGAGGAGTTAAAAATAAGGGGGAAAATTGGGTTGCACCTTCTAAACACACTGGGTTAGGAGAGCTTCCCAGAGAGATGAAATGGACAGGTGGTAGAAGATGACCTCTAAGTGATGGTCTTTCAGGAACCCAGCATGTGCGGGTGCATCTGTGCTACCAGCATGATGGCCTTGTCAGTGTGTCCCTGATTCCCTCACATGCCTGCTCATAAGTCACCCGGAGCTCTCTGCAACTATGAAATCGATCCCACCATGGGGCACAGCCAGATACTGTCCTGCAGAGAAGGGCATTGCGTGAAACAGATGTGGGTGGTAATGTCCCAAATTGCGCAACAAAGAAAGCAATAGGAGTGGGCGATAGGAAAATCAATGTCTCGCTGCTGTGATGCATGCAGGCATATGGCAATGGATTTTATGGTGAGCTCAGTAGTGTGGTAACAAGCAATCTGATTCTTTGCCACTGTGCAACACAGGAGGCTGATCTAGATGGACCCTAGTCTTCTGAGGGGAGATTGACAATTATAAGTTCCCATAAAATACTCTAAAATTGTTGGATACTTCAGAAAGTAAGCCCTAGTTCCATGGGCTGAGGTGGGGGTGGAAAGAAAGAGGTGGAATCTCTAGGTTGCATACATAGATCTGGAATAACCAGACAGAATAGGTGTTTAAAAAATAACCTTAATTTCCAAGTAGACATTTCTCTTGAAACATTATGAGATGTGCTTTTTCTTCAGGGACTTCAAAATTGAGGATGGCAAAGCTGTAATCCCATTGGGCGTAACAGTGCAAGGGGATGTTCTCATTGTGATCTATCACGCCAGGTCAACATTAGGAGGCAGACTCCAAGCCAAGGTAATGATTCGCTTAATGGTGCATTTGCAGGGCTCATTCTTTGCAATACAGGGCAATCCCCAGGGTCCCTTTCATGGCTACTGTGTTCTGCAGTATAGTGGCTGCTTGATGTAAATGGTCGCATTGTTGCCCTTCTGTGCTTTTATGTTCCTTTGTGGAAAGAGTTTGCAGTTTTCAAGTGGCTAGGAGCTTCCCTTGCATTCCTGTCACAATGGGCAGCTTTTGGGCAGCATTGTGACAGGTGGACAGTTGGCTCCTCTTTTTGCAGCAGTTTCTGGCAAGCCAGCATTTTCACAGCTGGTAATGATCCCCCATGTCTGGGACCTTAAAGTGCGTGCCTCTTGCTCCTCTGTGCGGTTCTGCTGAAAGTTTATTTAAAATTGACAAAAACTAAAACTTTCTGTTTTAGGCAAGAGTCGTCATTTGTTAATTATATTTCCCACCAAAAGGAATTTTGAGTACGCTCTCATGACTGGAAGTCAAACTGCAGTGTGACAATCAATTACCACGGGTAAATCACCAAAACAGAATCTTAAACAGCGACCTTCTTGGCTGTCAGTTGGCTAATTGAGACGCTGATTACAGTGCTGTATCATGTTTGAAACCCATTGCTGCTGTCATGCCTCTAAATTATGGAATGAACTTGTTCTGTGAGACAGCACCAGATGGAACCTGTACAGACTACTCGAGGTCTCACGGGAACAGAGACTACCTCCCTTGGCCATTTTGGGGAGAGCGCATTTTCATTATAAAATATCGCTCTTGGACTCTTCAGAATTCAGATCACATAATAAGTGATTAACTAGCTAGAGTTGACACTCGTTTTCCTAAGATGTGGAATGAAGCCACTTGAACTATGATTGTCACAGCGTGTGGGCCTAAAATTAACATCCAACACATACGTTTTTGAAAAATTAAGCCACTTATGTTCCTAAGTGCCACGCACAGAGTAGCTCCCCTTGAAGTCAGCATGTTTTATGGAGGCTCAGCATGCCTAAAAATGGCGATAATCCCCCTCTCCCCCTTCAGCATCCTTTTTTGCTGCCTTGCTTCACTTCACTCATGAAGTGCCCCGCATCTGACAGCTGTGCAAACTAGAGAACATGTATCCCAGCACATTTAACACTCACAGGTTGCCTCCTCTCCTTTCTTCACCACAAGGGAGCTGGACTATCAAACACCTGGCCACAATCATGCTGGGGCACCCTAATAATACACCTCTGTGCTAACTTACATGATAGTGACGGTTTTTTTAGATTCAGAACACAGAAACAACAACCAGAATAGGTATTTGAGCCAATAGCACAGTGGGATTTTAGGAGCTGCCATCTGGTACTGATTAGGAGGCCCATCTATCCCAGTGCCCAGCGTCCATCTGTGGCTTGGTTCAGTGCATAGTCTCGTTTGCCGTCCTTCACTAGGCAGGAGACATTGGAGGATTTTTGCTTGATGATTCTTCTTTCAGTTGAAAAAGCTAACATATTCCAGACTCTATAAAAGGCAGGCAGCCTTGCAGATGAAGTCTCTCATGACCCAAACTATTGAAAAGTTCTAGCTTTTCTTACTTGGGTGTAGCCATAGTGAAGTCTGGACATATGTGAAAAATTGAAGTGTGTATACATTTCAGGATTATTTACCTACAGAACTGAAAGCATTATTAACATACAACTTCTGGAAACTGTATTTTAACATGCAAATGTAATGGGCCAAAGCAAATGCAAATACTTTCAGTGCTGGTAGAAGTTAGCCTGTCCCTTTTTTCCACTATTCTATTTCTCTACTAAACCCGCTTCACTTAGTCTGAGAAATTCCTCCTTCAGATTTCCAAGGTTTGCTTTGTTTCCATGGAAGCCTTGTCTCAGTGATTCTGTGACTACCGTGGAGGCCAAGCTTAGCTGTGCCTCTTCGAGGCACTTGGCAAAAATGGTCTGCTGCTGGGAGAAATCCAAGCTAGTTGGTACACTAAATGACAGCCTTCCATGAGACGGGTTTAGAGAAGAAGATAGTCCATGGCTGGACTGACTCTTACTCATCAAAGCTGAGCCACAGCAAGTTTGGATATCCAGTCTCCAAAGTCTCAGGGTCTAACTGATGATGGCCATGTATGGAGTCAGGAAGGCATTTCCCCCCAGATGAGAATGGCAGAGAGCCTGGAGGTTTTTCACCTTCTTTTACAGCATGGGTCACTTGTTAGCATGAACTAGATTCAATGGTGGCATTAGCTTTGGGCTGAAATGAATGAAAGGGAGTATTGCTCTGTGTGCATTTTGGCAAACTCTCTTCCAGGACTGATGTAGCTTGGTTTTATTCACACACGTACTTAATGTGAAAATATTAATGTTGGCAGAAGGAAAAATTATCTTGTCATTCAGCAGCAGGAAGAATTGGATAAGTTAGATGGTTATTATGAATTGGTTTAAAGAACCCCTATTATACAGGCCAGTATATTACACTGGAAACAGACAGAAGTCCTTACCTGCAAATGACATACTGAGATGCTGACACACTTCTACTTGATTCATACATCTTGTTCTGTTTCAGATGCTCTAGCAGTGCTATAGGTGGATCCTGTAAGTATTAGTTAATCTGAAAAAGCTGCTGACAGGCCAGAATTTTATCCTGCAGAATTGTGTCTTGTCTTTACAGGCAGGTTAGGGGTTATGGCCAGAACAAGGGGAGAACCCACACCACCTCTTCCTTTTCCAAAGTTCTCCCAAGCTCTCTCCTGGTGCTCCAGCTGGGATTGGGTGCAAAGGCTTACTCTGTCAGCCTGCTGCGTGTCGGAGTGGGGGCTTGCCCTGAACTGCCCTCCCAGCACTCATTCTGGGGATCAAAGCATGCAGAGAGAGAGAGGGGGGCTTTTCCTGCTCTCTGGCAGGAGTGTTAGGCAGAGCTGGTCAGGGTTTGGGAACACTGAGTTGTCCAAGGTACCCAATCATGGGCCCTGTCTGCCCAATGGCTAATCCGCTACTGCTTGTCTTGAGTTGGAAAATGCTGAGGTAGCTTTTGAAGAAGCTTTTCCCAACATGTACAGGTGTGTGTGAGATTAGAAACAGGTGCCTTGTCTCTGATGGTCTTTCTACCAAGACCCTGCCAACTTACCTGAAAAATAGAGACGTCCAAATTCTGCCATTCCAAGAAAAATGCTGTGTGGAGCTACTGAACTGAAAGAGAATACCTTTATTAATATCAACATTCCTGTCCACCAAAAGGAAAGTCGGATAGTCCTATTTTGTTACACAGGATTTTGCAGTTACCGTTTTCTCTTCCCCGTAGATGGCTTCAATGAAGATGTTCCAAATTCAGTTCCACACAGGTTTTGTGCCCCGGAATGCCACCACAGTGAAATTTGCTAAGTATGAATATTTTGCTGAGCATTGTTTGCGCAAACTTTTTCAAATGTATTTTACTTTCCAGATCACCTGTTTTATTAATGTGGGAAATGGATAGCTTTCATTGTCAACAAAATAATTTCTGGCTTTTGATTGGCTACGCTTCCTTTGATTGAGCATCTCTTGATGCACACCTTTAAGATTAAAGTAGAGAAAGAGTTAAAAAAATCCAGTTGGTTTTAAGCTTTGCACACCAATTCCATAGCCATGCTAGTCACTTACCTGGCTGCAGTCCAAAATGATGAGTCAGTGAGCTGACTGAATATTTGCCTTGCAAGTTAATTGATGTGTGATTTTATTACATCAACATATTACAGGTATGATCTGGATGCTTGTGACATTCAAGAGAAATACCCTGACTTGTTTCAAGTGAATCTAGAAGTGGAGGTGGAGCCCAGAGACAGACCCAGTAGTGAGCGAGCACCGTGGGATAACTTGAACCTCAAGGGACTGAATCCCAAGATCCTTTTTTCCAGTCGGGAGGAACAACAAGAAATTCTATCAAAATTTGGTAAAGCTTAATTTTGGAACCATTAGAAACTTGAGCCGGTGTCCGATCCTTTTAAAGCATCATTTTGTTGAGTTTTCAGACATAAATTTAACTGACCATTAGAAGGGACACTTATTTTTTTTGTGAATAGCCATGCAATATCCTTGCCTGTTGCAAAGGAATCAGAGTTTTCTCCTAATACCACATTGTAATGAGCCCAGTCTTTTAGACACTGCTTTCATCTTTTCCTAAAGCTCTAGAGGCCCTATTTGGAGTGACACATCAAACATAAATACCTGGCGGTAGAGCCCTTTGCCTCCAAAACCTGAGGAGAATTCCCTCCGCTTTTGCCAATTAGCCGAGCTTACGCTTTCATCAGTGCAGTTCAAAGTGTTCCCGCATTCTCCAGAAGTGGCTTTTCATACTCATTGTTCAAAATGTTGTTGTTGTTGTTAATAATATTTGTGCATAGCCAGTAGCATTATGGCTTAGCTGCGTTCAAGTTTGTCCCTGCATTAGTGTATCTCCATTGTTCCAGAAGGGATCTCGTTTTAAATGTTGCTTCTTGTCCTGTTTATTCAATGTCCACATTCTGGATATAATTGACTAACTTTAGCCAGCATTGTCATACATAGTGGGGGGGTTTTCTTGGTCTTGTTAGTTTTCATGTCTTATTTCTTCATCCTTTCTTTAAGGTTCTCTACCATGGCCGTATTTAGAGACTAAGCAAGACCTCAATAACTGCCTTTCTGCTCATTTATCTTTTAAATTTGACTGCATTTGATTTTTTCCTCCTCTCCTCTACCCCCATACTTTTCTCTTGATTCAGCATAGTCACTTCTCCCCTTTTCATATGTTTTTAGAATTCTGTTTCTGCCAGGCTTGCATTGTGATTAACCCTTGTCATTCTTTCCTGAATATAATCTCCCTTTTATAGCATGTTCTAGTTAGGACATTCAAATAAACCATATTGTGAACTACATTTTTTGATTTACATTAATCTACACTTTAAGTAAGTTCTGTGAGTTTCATTAATCCTGTTCTTTTTGGATATTGTTTTGTGGAGGAAGAGAAACTGAGGGATCCTTCTGTGTCCTGTATTTTGAAACGGCTGAAATTTGCTCACAGCCCTTGTATCCATTATGTTCTATTTTGTGATATCTTCAGAGTGTTATTGGTATGCAGCAAAGGGCTAGAAATTGAAACTGACTTGAATATAGTCACATCAGTTTAAATATAGGAGACACAACTCTTCTAGAATTTAAAGTCTGATAATTTAATATAATTTCATTGCTGTTGTATGTGGCTGAAACTAGGGCTCCTGCTCCATCCTAAATTCACAGCCGTAGGGACTTTTTCCTACAGACAGCCTATCAGGTTGCTCCTGAATGGCAACCAAGAGTCATTTCCTGACTCGTATGTTTTTTTTAGTCCCTTACTATGTATTGCAGATTAGGATTGACACAATCTGAGTTCATGTTAGTTGTGCGTATCTCTGAGGTTTTTGGCTTGAAATTCCATTGACAGGTAAACCCGAGCTGCCTAGGCAACCAGGGTCAACAGCGCAGTATGAAGCAGAAGAGTCCAAATCAGAGCAGTCTCCCGAAAGCATACCTACTGAGCCGGAGTCTCCTCACAGCATCAACACGGATGTGAATAACTTCTTCCGGACTCTGGATTGGGAAGGTAGGTGAAGTTACAAATTGTTTACTAAAAGGACTTGTGCAATGCATCAGCAGTCTCTCCCGGTACTGTGAGTACATCAATTGCTGTGATGCCAGTGGTGGATTATTGACTTCGATCATATCTCCGGGCCGGCTTTACTTCTGGAGCGATAATAGTTGCACCTGTTAAGCAGTGGAGGAATATGCTACTCAGTTGCATTTCTAGTCCGTGTGCTCCTGGCAGTCAGAGCCATTCTTCTCCCTGGGCCTTGTTTATGGGGAGAGGAGCATGCTGGAGGAAAAAGCTGCAGGAAAAAAAGCTCATCTCTCTCTCCTTCCCCTCCCCCCCCATCACCCTCCATCTCCACACATTTTCTGAGCAGGACAAGCCGGAGGCTATTCATTCACCTTTCATTACCCCTCAACCCTTTTTTACAAGGAACTTGTTCAGTTCAGAGCCTGGCCCCTGAACCTGGCTTGTCCTGCTTGAGCAGACAAATCTGGTTAACCTGAAGGGGTTCTAAAAGGGTTAATCTGTTTTCGTTCCTTCAATAGAAGGAAAAGCCCCAGAGGCTGGGGCAGAGGACCGCTTGGCCAGAGAGCACCATCCCGGCCTGTGTGATGACAGGGGTGAAAGTGAGCCGTCAGATGAAGAATTGGTTGCGTTCCCTAGTGAAGGTAGAACAGAGATGGCTGAAGAAAAAGAAAAATTCACTCCTCCAGAAGAAGATGCAGATTTATTTTTTGAAGCCGATTTTGAAACTCCCTCTGCCCAACCACAAGAACCTAACTTGGAAGACCATGTCGATTTACTGGGACTAGACTCTGATGTGCCGTCAGAGCAGAACCAACCTGCCTCAGAGATGAAGAGTTCATCTAGCAATGCAGACTTGCTGAACAATTTATTTGTGGATAGCACGTCCAAGATTTCAGAAGAGTCAACTGGGGACCTCCTAGGTGAAGGGACTGACTTCTTTTTCAGCAGTCAACCTCCGCCTTCAGCCAGTAACCAGAGCACGTCTCCACCCACAACACTGTCTTCTGCTGGTATGTAACTCGGTTCTGTTTTGGAATTGTGAGCCGGTATGAACGCAATGTGGCAATATTATTAGCTGCTTTACTATTTTTCTCTTTGTTTACTGTGTTAGTACCATGTGTTGCTCTATCCCAGAAAGATGTTGCTGTCTGTCATCAGAACCTTCGAAAGGAACACACAATGCTTTTTACTTACTTTTGTCATACTTCTTATGACCGAATCGTTGCTTCATATCATTTAGCAGCGTTTCACATTGTTCAAGTTTACAGTAAGGAACTGTTGTCTTCGTTGGAAAAGCCACCTTGATTCAAAATATGATGTTGGCAGTGTTGTGTGTTTCCGTTTTCATGACTTTATGGTATAACTTCTACTGAGACTTACACACATTTATCTCACTTTGTTTAAGAATAATATTCATGGAAAAGCAAAACCTTGCTCTCCTACATGCAGAAGTGTTTGTTTTATGTTCCTCTCTGGATCCAAGATGAGGAAGGCTGATAACCCATTTCTCCCTTAAGCTTTCAAAGGATTGATAGCAAGTTGGCGTGAAAGGCAGCTTAGTCCTTGCTATCCGAGTCCTGCACTTATATACAGTCATCATTTATCCCTGTCACAAGACAAGAGGTCCAGGAAGTGTTACTGACACATCATTAAAGAACTACTCGATGTTACTAATCTCATGCTTTGACAGTGTGCGAACAGGACTAGGCTAGTGCTAGGTCTTGATTCTCATGTAATACAGCGCCCGAAGCTGCATAAGACTAAAGTGCAGGAGCCCATGCAACTGCCTGATGTTTGGAATGCAAATTATTTTGATGTATGTAATAGGAGTCCTGCTTTCCTTTATTAAGGAAATAAAGATCCATCTGCTTATTCCTGATGTAGAACTAGTATTTGTTCTAATGAAGATTTCTTTCAAGTTTAATGCAGCATTAAATGGTGGTTCAACCTAATTTTTTGTCAGTTTCCTCACTGTAAATGTTATTCTAAAAAATCCACGCTGGGTATATTGAAATGCCTTTAGTTATACCTCCCCGACGCTAGGGCAGTTCTGTTGCGGTTTTGCTAGTTTAATGGCCCATTGTGCTTACAATTTGTTAGCTGGGGCTCTGGGATTCCTGTCTTGTCAGTGACTTCTTTTTAGATCCCTCAATTAATACGAATTTTCTGATATGCGTGGGCTGATCTGAAATGAATGACACGAGATTGGGGGAACGGCTTGTGTGAAGAAAACTAGCTTTGTGGCTATGAATTTTTATACTGTGTCAGTAAGGATTTACGATTCAAGGGATAATTGGTTTCCCTGGCTGTGATTGGCTGAGATGCTCTGCTTGTCTAATAACATGTAAGTACTAGTGTCTGGGGGCAGGGATAGATTGTCTCGCCTGCCGGAAAGAAGAGAAACTTCAAGAGGCGGCGTCAGTTGACACCCATGACCTCACCTTATTGCCCCTGCCCAAGAGGGTGTAAGTAAGTTTTTCCTGTGATCTTATTTGCAGTAATGCCTGCCACAAAGATAATTTTGTTTTCTGTCTCTTTAGCTGATCCATTTGACCCATTCACAATGTCACGGGGATCTGAGAATCCGACAGTGTCTGGTCCTGATCTCTTTGGAGACTTTCTTAATCCAAATGCAACATCTACATCTAGTATATTTCCTTCCACACACAGCGCACCACCTCCTTCTTCCAGCTCAGACTTCTTAAATTTAGGTAAGTGTGCTTTTGGCATGTTTTTTCTGTAAAGGTTTCTCTGGCTTTCCCTGTGTTCAGTTCTTTACTCTCTCAGCTTAGTCAAGGTGGATTAGCATCTAACAGATCCACTTGTTGTGACTGCTATTTTAATAAGCTCCATGTTCACAGAGCGCAGCTGAACATGTCCAGCGAGTAGCATTTCCTGTATAGCGTTACTATACTTGGTAAAATTCTTTTGCCAAAATTGCTAATCCTGTATTTTATTATTTTTCTGGGAAATGACCATGATAGAATTGAGGTTGCAGGGAGCATTCATTCTGTTTCCCATCTCATTAAATTACCTAGATTACTAAATGTAAATGTGATTTCTATACTTAGGCTTGAATGGGGTTCTTAAGGCCATGGAAAGGGAAAGTAAAGGGATTCTGGAAAAGGATCTGTTAGAAGAATGTTGTTACCTTAAACTTTTCAGAACTGAGGCTAATTGGATTTTTTTGTACAGAAATAATTTTGTTAAAATATATTTATAGGCCACATTGCATAATACTTGGAGCTAATCTAATTTGTTTCCGGGGTTTTTTCCGGATATCAAAGGTAAAAACCTTTTCTGCATGTACTATTTCCGTAAAAAGTGTAAATGGGAGAGTTTAGACTTTGTCCAGTGAGCATTCTATCCAAGACCATTCTAATCATCGTAAGTACCTGAAATGATTCATTTTCTAAAAATGCGGATAGAGGTAGTAACACAAACTGTTATTTAATGGCAACACACCAGTGTGCTCATCCAAAGCGAGCACAGTTTTCTAGTTTCTCAAGTAACTCAACAGCATTTACAGATTAAATTGTCAGTTAACTCCGATACTATGCAATGAAATGGTAGATGACATAGTTGCTTTACTAGACAGAAATGAGTTATCTGATTTGGAGTATAAACTTTTAAAACATATATCCCTATTAATGAAAAACCAAAAACATAAAAATTCTGTTTCACCCTTTAAATGCTCAGTTTAATTTTTTAATATTCAGTGAGGTGTGATTCACAAGTATAACTGTCATGCAGTAAATGTGCCACAACAGTTATACCTTCAGATTAATTTAACTGTAAAAACTGAATTCTGTACTAGAAACATGTCTGAACTACAGAGCGTAAACAAAACACAATAGTGTGTTTATCGGCACGTGACCATCTTTCTGTGAAGGCAGTCCCTCGGTAGGGCACTGCACTGCCATTCAGAAAAACGTAATTGTCTTCTGGGAGTGAAGCTGATGGATCAGCAACAACCAACTTCTTTTTTCATTTGTCATAGCTGTAAAGCAAGGACAATGCTACTTAGCCACCCCTGGAAAAGACACACATCTCAGGTTTCTAAATCTGAGAAATATCCGTGCACATACTTTTTAATCTTAAAAGGCAAAACCAAGGCCCACTCACCATGCATTTCGTACGTAGAACAAATCAGCACTGTGCCACATGTTTATGATGAATTGCCCAAGGAATAATGAGACACCCTAGCATAAGGGTCCTTTTCTAAAATCCATGTTAATAGACATATCAGAGATGCTGATTCGAGAAAGGACCTCGTCCTCTTATAGTGGTAGGAACACTGCAATGTTTTTAAATAAAGGGCTAATAATGTCCGTTAAATAGGAGATTGGGAAGCGGCCTACCTAGAAGGCGAAGAAAATGAATGAGGAAAACTATAGGTAGTGGGCCCATGTAACTCTCTCCGGGGGATGGGAGCGAACGTGAAGGGAACACCAATGGCTGTAGTGTGCTGTGGCTCTTCAAAATGTTTCAGGTCCAATTTAGATCCATCAGGATTAGTCTTTGTAAGCTCATGATATTACTGGTCCCTTGTCTTCATTCCCTGCCTTCCGTTGTTGGTCACTTACTGAATTGTGCCTGCAGATGGTTAGCAATTTGAGTCAGGGCCAGGTCTAATGACACTTTTGTAGAGCACCAAGCAGACCAGGGCCCTGATGTCAATGATGAGGTTACTGTAAGGTAAATACTAGACTGTAGGCAAAAGCTTTTTAAGGTGAGATCCCCACTCATAATTTAACATGTCTAAACAGAAGCTCAGTGGCAAGGGAGCCATTTAGAGACAGATTTTGAGAGCCGTGGTATTTCAGGGACACAGTTCTCTATTTTCTGAAGGTGAGTAATTCTTATGGTCTTGGGATGAGATCCTGTAGATAGTTAACATCACAAATAACAGTGGCCCTTCCCCCACGTGAGGTGCACACTATGGTTAAAACAACCTTCACACTGCCTCTGGAAAACTGGCCACGTCTGCACACCAAGACAGAGGCCAGATGCCAGAAAGTATGTTGGTGCATATACTCCAGGAGTTCTATGACTTCCACTCACGGTCGCTGTGAGAACTTTGTTTCCTTTAATGTTTTAGGAAGAGCCATGGTTTGCCAGCCACACAACTTCCTTGGCTTTATTGTTCGGACATTGGTAAAATCGCCTGCCTTGTCGTCTTTGTTACATGGGTTCAAAACTGTTTCTTAGTTTATTTGCAAGGAGGAATGTGTCGCTAAGTATTATTCATAGAGCCCTGCCAATCTGCAGATATTTGCTTTATATCCAAGGTCCATTTTTACAGCTTGGATACGGCTACAAATTTCATATGCACACAGGGCTCTAATGATGTATCCTGCTTAATTGCCATCATTTTGGTTTTTTTTCCCTTCTGTCACTCCCGTTAGCATCTGTTAGGGTCTCTGACTTTTTGGCGTAAGGTCATTTAGTCCCTTGCCAGTTTATTTCTGCTTTCTGGGTTTATGTTTCTCGTACATACTTAGGCAAGCCAAACCTCTTGGGATGAAAACTAAATGAGTTTTTGACGGGAACTGCTCTATATTAAGCAATCTTGAAAATGGGGCCACTTCATTTAGGTGAGTAAGTGGGAGTCTGGCTGCACCTGTTCTTACTCCTGTAAGGTGACTCGCTCAAAGGAGATGAGAAGGTGCATGAACATGGTGAGAGACAGGTTCAGCTTCCTGCACAGCTGAGGCTGAAGGGAATTTTGTGGACTGATGCAGGACTCAGGCCTTTGGGACCCTCTACCCACCCACCTCACAGGAACTTTCCTTGCGGCAGTTGTAACCTATATTCTCCAGCCAGCCCTCCTGGATGCTGGTTGGAAAGTGGAAAAGCCCCCAGAGTCCCCAATTGTCTCCCCTCTTAAGGTGAGTAAGAGAGTAAAGGGCACCACCAGAGATGCAACACCTGGATGAAGGTAGGAAGGGTGTGGCTGAAAGAGGGAGTCCATAAAGTGTATACATTCTCTCCCTCCCCCTCCCCCCCAGCCTAACCAGAGTGGGAAGAGAGAAGTAGCAGTCCCCACACAGCGAAGGCAGGGAGGTGAGGGAGAGGAAAGGAATGGGTCTGTTGGACACTCTTTTGGCTGTTCCAGTTCATCTCTCTTTCTGCCCTGGAAAGGGACTCCATTGTTCTCACCCTTTTGCCCTGGCTTCAGGCCGCAATTCTCCCAGTTCTATTTGCTCTGCTTCGTGGTGACCCAGCATCAGAGAAGTTTTGTACGCAATTTCTTCTTTGCCACAACTGATGGAGTCAGATGATCAGCTGAGGTTGCTTCGCGTTGTGGGGTGGTGTTGTGTAGATAAGATGGGCCATTGTTACTTCAGCTAAACCTTCTTTTATGCTGTGGCTGAGTGAATCGCAGTCTCACAAGCCAGTCACCTTTGGAGTTGTCTTCTGTGGCTGGTATGGAGAGCTGATGCTTTTGTAATGGTGACAGCACAACCCATGGAAGTATACCTTGGTTAAATTACACTCTTGGTTTAAAAAGGCTCCAGAACTGAACAGTGTTTTCGCAAACCCGAAGGAACTAGAGAGCTGCTAAAAGGCTGGCTGGCAGCAATCGTGGTGCTTGTCCACACAGTGAAGAGCAAGGCCATCTGCGTTCTGCAAAGCCCTCTGGCATACTCTGAAATCCCTGTTCACTAAAACATAAATATCCTCAGGGTTCAAGTGCTCCTCTCGCCTCCTAGTCCTCCCTCCACCCCGTGCAGCAAACGGGTATCTTGAGTAGAGTTGTCCTATTTGTGTAGCACTTGAAGATAGAACAATTGGAATTTCTCCTTTCTTAGTACTGTATCGAATTGATTTGGGATCAACAAAGTCAGATAGTTTCAGGTAGTTTACATCTCAGGAGCACGAAGGATTGTAACAGTGATCAAGAGGTTGAAGGGAATGGTTAGCTTTGTATCCTGCTGTTTTCAGTTGGCTTTGCAAGTTCACCACCACCAGTTGGCTTTTGGCCTACTGTTACATAGATCCCTGCAAATGCCCCGGATACCCATGGACCATGTTTGCAGATCAGATGCGGATACAAGTTTTGTGTCCCTGCAGGACTCCACTGTCGCACATTAGCAGCTATGATTGATTTGTATCTCCTTGATAAGTTATTGAAACATTCATGTATTTTATGCACTGTCACAATTCCAGGCTCAAAGTTAGTATTTCGGCATGAGGTCTTCTGTCCAGCCTGTGTTCTCCCCACAGTGATTCACTAGTGAGATTGTTGTTCAGCAGTTGTCATCCTGTTTTCTTCGGCAGCAGAACTAGGGAGGTGTGGGTAGCTCTTAGGAATCTCTCAAATTTACCTCCAGAACTAAAACATTTCAGGCCGGTGTCCAAAGGGGAGCTCTGGGATTTTACCCGCTTTGTGGTCAGATTTACGCATTTATTTTAATAAGAAATATAGAGAATATGAAGGTAATTGTAGGGCAGGTACTTTGAAAGTGCTCACTTGCATCAAGAGCTGAAACCCACTGAGTGAAAGAAGCACAGAGTGATGGTGACCTGAAGTGCAAAGGAGAGCAACTTGGTTAGCAAGAGACTTAGAGAAATCGTGTCCGGTGATGCGTAGCAAGGAACACAACTGCAAGGGTCACTTGAATCGAGAAGCAATTTTCAACTTATTAAGAAGTGAATTAGTAGTATTGTCACTGTTCATTAAAATAATCCACAATAATGAGATGGGCTGAACTCGGAGTCACAGCAGTGCTGGGTGTGAGTAATTCAATAATAAAGGAATGAGTAAGTTTCCTGGGCAGTAACTAATCGCCAGACCTCATTAGATTGCAAGGGAAGAGCTATAACATAATTAGAAGTTGAACAAGTGGAAGCTTGAGAGTCTCCTGCTGTTGTTTGCAACTTGGAATAACCTAGGGGTACAAGTAGTTGTAATATCTTCAGAGAGGGTGGCTATTTACTTAGGAGTTGTACTTCTGTCTCCAGTAACCTTTGTCAGAAACTCGCTGTCCTCTCTCCCTATGTCTTCTGGTTACCTGTATCAGCGGAGAAGTACTTTAGCTTGAGAATTCTGCTAAATTGATCAGCGGTGAGGTGGCTAAGATTTAATATATGATATAATATTTCAGTGCTGGCTTTTTAAGGCATATTCATTAGAATTGAGTTAACATTCATTTAGATGAATAGGGCTGTTGTTAACTTTTGTTCCGGGTCCTTGGCAGACTGAGGTAGCTATGAATGCTTCAGTCACACAGGATTCTTATTGTAAAGGATTTCGTTGCAAGTGCCAGAGACTTGACTTCATGTGAAGATGAGTGGGCTAGAAAAATATGGAGCCTCAAAGTATGTTTTGGTCAACCAGATATTCCAGACACACGGGGTGGTGCTGCTGTCTTTGCTCAGCCTCCAAAAAGTGAGGCTTTTTGAGGGAGGAAGGCTGAGGAAAGAGGAAAAGGCATAATATTGTCCTGGATGGTGGTGAAGAGGTCACAGTGCCTACATGCTTATTCGGTTAGCTGTCCTGGTGGATGCTAAACAATGTGCTAACTTCCCCAAAGAACTTTTTCAATTGCATTGTGCCTCTTTGGTCACCTGTGGCCATAGCAGTCAAGAACAGGGAGTGCAAATGTGCTGCAAAATGGGGCATTATTCTTGTATGTTAGTTTCTCTGCAGACTGTTGGGGGGAATGCTGATGTGAGGCGCTAAATACTACTTACTAATAACTACCGATGTATCTAGTACGTCTGATGCTGAAAGAACACCAAATTCTTTGCATCATGTCTTTCGGTTGTTTTTTCCATCTGGAAAATGCACAAACGGTTGAGGAACAGAAGGAAGCAGCTCTACATTAATACTTTCCATGGGACAGGAGTAATGATAGTTAATGGGATGGTCCTGTGAGGCCCTTTTAAGACTAACTTCATTCTCCTTTCATTCTGCACTTCGAATCAGGACAGACTTCTTTTGCTGCACGCATGGTTTTAGGTATCCCTAAAAGTATCTTCCCATGACGGAGGAGAAGTCCCCATGCTAGGCAGCTGAAGAGCAAGGCATGTGTGGTCAATACCACACCGACAAATCTGGAGCTCTGCTAACACTACTCATAGCCCACGTAAATCCATTTTGAGAGGGCAAGTGCCCCTGGGTCAAGCTTGATCGTTCCTGAGTTGTTGAGTGGCATGGAGCACCGTGACTAAAGTGCTAATGATTTGGAGCCACCTGCTGTATTGTAAACAACCAGAGGAGGACACCGAAGCAGTAACTTTTGTATGATCCCATAGTATGGACGAGCTATTTAACAGCATGGCTGAGAATGAAGATTCCTTTAGGTTGGCTGTGCAGCAAAGCTTGAAAACAGAAATCAAAGCTATAGCACAAGTATCCCATGATATAAATAAATTGGCACTATCTAGAGAATGTTAACAGGTCAAATAATGACCCATCCGGGAGTCTGGCTAGCAGTCTTGTGAAAAATACTCTTCCCAAAAGAGTGCAGTAGCCACTATGGGTTTGTTGTTGACCATTTTTTATAATTTTTTTTCTAGGAAATTTAGCACCAGACCTCTCTAAAATGACTTCCTCCGCAAGCCACCCAGACCTGTTAGGTGGCTGGGATTCTTGGGCAGAGGCACCGGCTACTAGCAACATAGCATCCCAACAGCCAAAGAAGTCTGCAATCGAAGGTATTAGGCAACAAAAAGATGGTGTGTATTTCTGTTGCTAAAGAAAATGCATGCACTGCAATTATCAGTCACGTCAGCCATCTGAAACAACGGAGCCATCATATACGGCTCTCACTAGGTTTATTAAATACAGTCACATTAAAGTACTTGGCACCTATCACCGATTTTTCTAAGGTTCCACTACAGTTTTTCTATACAATTTCAAAGACATACAAACAGCAACAAAGCAGTGATGCCTGTAGATGTGGTAACCGCTGTCCGCTAACAGTGTAACACGTAACCAGAATTTTGGAGGAGAGGCTTCTGAGTGGGCGTGGATGTCTGTACAAATTAGGGCCTCAGACAAGAATCTAGATAGAAAGTATTGATAGCCATTGGCTTGGAATCAGGGGAGACTTTTTGTCAACACCTTTTTAAAAAAATGGATGTTTTCATCTCCTGTCATTTGTGCCCGCTAAATAATTTCATGTTTGTTTTTGATACAGGCCAAGCTCCTTCTGCAGGAAGCCAGACAAGCATGCCTTCAGGACTGCCTTTCAGCCAAGCAAAATCTCAGAACTTCGACCCCTTTGCTGACCTTGCTAACCTTAAATCTGGTCTTCCAGGTAATCTCACATGTTTTCTTAAGTCGTCAAAGCAACTCATAGCAATCCATTCCCCTGGCACTGTGCTTTTCATCTGTTGATTTGGGAGTGGTATCATTAGTCTGAGGCAGTGTGGTAATTCCTGTTTTCTTAGAACCGTAATAATTTTTGTGGACCCAGAGAACTGTGAAATGCAGAACTTCAGAAACTGGTTTTGACATGAGTAGAAATACAGAACTATTCTTTATTTTATAATGGTAATTTTAAAAAGCAAGCTAAATACATGGACAGTGGTAAGCTCTCTCTGGCTTGTGATTGGATTGTGGAAAGGAACTTCAAGAACATCCTTGATAAACTGTGTGTCTACTAAAACAAAGCCAAGCGTTGCTAGCACTCATTCAGTAAGCAACCAAAATCAGCTCCCCCCCCTTCACCTCTGACACCTTCCTCTCCTTGGCAATTGCCTCAAGATGCAGAGACAAGCTGAAGATGCAGAAAGCACCTCAACTTTCAGGGTCTGCATGTAAGAGCTGGCCAGCCGCTTGTAACCATCATAGAGCGGAGTGATGAAATGGTGTCAAGACATATCTTGGTCCAGTGCTATTGAAATTAAAGCTCATAATTATTTGTGACAACCAGAGAAGAGGGTGTCAAATTCGTCCAGATAAGCAATTTGCATGGTTGTCACTAGAAGCTTGCTGCATGTTCATATCCCTTATTAGGCATCTCACAAGGTGTTTTCCTATTGCTTTTCTATTAATATTATCAACGACTGAAAGGACTATCAGGAAAATTCACCATATTTAAATAAAAAAAGATAAAATATGTCTGCCTTGCCTGAAAGGTCCTGTTCAGGTTTTAAGTTGTGTGTAAACTCTGGTGCCAAAATTGTTCAAATATATTGCTTATGGCATTTTTGTAAGGCAGACAACAAAATATCAAAATATTTTCCCCCTTTATCATGACAGTGCGTGTACCAAAAACCTGAATATTTTACTCTCCTAACAAAAGACTATGCGTGTAAGGTTTTGTTGGGAGGGTGTACTGCAGTGTGCTAGGATTCAGTACCTCTGGAAACCTATTGGAAGACTCCCATTGACTTCATTATGGTTTGGACGGAGTCGCTAGTGTCTTGTTTGGGTGATTTTCAATGGTGAATGTGCATCCTATTAGGAAGTGGGCCCCATTGTCATATATATCTCCTCCCATATATAACTAAGATGAGAATAAAACATTAGTTAAACGCCTTGGCATCCTCGGGTTTGGAGCTGCGTGTCAAGTAAGTGCAAGACTTTGAGTTCCATCTCCAGACCTCAAATTAGTAGGTTCTTTCAGTCCATAGGAACCAAAATGTCCAGCAACAGTCATAAATGTCAGGCTTTGAGGGATTGTTAGAATGAGAAGTTGGCTTAGCTTCACACACCCCTGACCAGCATGAATATAAAACACAATCTACAATATTGTAACAAAAAACCAAGAATGTACCATAATGTCCAAAAAACTGGCCAGCTTGAACTTTGTTAAAACTGAGAACCAGGGTGGCTGTCGCTCTCGGGTTCTTCTCTGTTGTTGCACATTTTCCTAAATGTTCGCATGTCCATGTTTGTTTTCCAGTATAATATAGAAAGCTGCAAATAGACCATATACGCAGAGCCTTCTGCTGTGATGTTTTTTCCTCAAAACATCCCAACTGTGACTTTCTGTAGGGTGTGGGATTGAATGGTTGAGCAAAGAACATTCCTTCCTGTGTTTGGTTGTCCAAAGCCTATCTGGGCTTGGCTTCCAACTGTTCCAACATGAAGTGGTTTAAATCTGGTTCATGGAGGCATAGCTGAGGTTTAAAGGCATTTCTGTCCAAAGAACATGATCTTGTTCTTTCACAGTGTGAATCTCTAGACAATTATACTGCATTTAAGTTCAACCACCAAGCTACTTTTCAGTTGCATGGGCCTGTGCCAGGGAGTTTTATGTTGACCACATGCCAGTTGCCAAGGAAACTTGCTTTCTAGAAATGTCTCAGAAGGAAAGAGAAGTCAGTAAAAGCAGTCTGGGAGGAGGCTTGGCTGGGAGTATGATTCCCTGGCTCATCATGCTGACAGCCACCAGGTACCGAGTGCCGAAAATGAAGCCTTAGAACTGGATTCCATTACACTGGGCTTACCCCAGTGTAACAGAGTGGAGAATCAGACCTTGAAGTTACAGCTGGCGAAATTACAGAAGGCTAATGTTTTCCTCCCTCCAGGCAGAGAGGGGAGGTGGTAGAGAAACAAGGATTGTGATTTAATTAGGGAGATAATGCTAGCTTAGCATTCAAGATAATTTGTGTGGTGGCTTTGTATGTATCTCATACTTCAGTGTTGTTGTTAAAGCAACGTCTCTGCTGTCAGGCCTGATGAATCGTTTCTCTCCTATATTTGTGTACAGCTCATTATTCATTTTTTTAAAAAAAGCTTTGGAGCCATTTCCTCCATCTGGGGAAGACTTGGTTTAAAAACCAGTCCTATGTAAGTGGAAGCTTGAAGGCAAGGACTTTCATGTGAGTGCCTTTGGAACACACTTCTTTTCCTTGAGTCAGAGGGGAGTTTCTCATAATCAGTCAGTACTTAGATGTAATTTCCTGTGCTGCGTATATCCACCCAAGTGTATTGTGTGGTGAATGATCAGACAAGGGTTTGCAGAAGTCCCAAAGTGACTGGTAAGTGGTTGAGTTTGGACAAGGAATAACCAAGACGCAGCAATGTGTTCCAGACTAGAGCAGTGGTATTCTCTAGCTCTGCTCACATGGTTCTTATTGAGCTTTGCTTTCAGACCCCCCACAGGTCTGTTCCTGTGGCGCTTGGGGTAGGTATTCAGACCAGAACGTGGGTGAGACTTCATTCAGTAGTTGAAACATTTGAAACGACATTACAACTAAATTAGGAATTGTTCCTGTCCAGGTTCTTCCGGTACTGGCTTCCCAGCTGGTGGATTTGGTCAGAAGTCAGCCCCATCCCAGAAAGGGGGGAATCAGTGGCAGACAAAGAGGCCACAAAATACGGGTACTTCGTGGCCGTCCCAGACTCAGCCACCGCAAGCGAAATCCAGTGCACAGACTAAACCAAACTATACTGTGAACTTCAGCGTTATTGGAGGGCGAGAAGAGAGAGGTATCCGAGCGCCAGGCTTTGGTAAGTTCTCTGTGATTACCATGGCGTGTTGCATATGCAATCCTTGTGATTTCTTCAAGCATGGATGGGCGCCGAGATCCTTTTCCGTGCTACCATTCTGTGAATGTACACAATTGTCTACTTGCCCAGCAGTGCTTCCCCTGCCTACACAGCTGGTTTTGGCAGCATGATGTGTCTTTCTTGCCTTCAGGGAGCAGATCCAGCAGTGGGGAAAGGCTCTGACAGCTCCCCACTTGTAGAGCCTTTCACTGCTGTGGGTAGTTACTCTCACCTCAGTGTGGACGCAGGCTACTCTTGGCTGTGGCATGTGGCTACGACACCGTACGTCAGTGGTGGACAACCTGCAGCCCACTGGGGCTCCACCTGCAACCCGCAGACCCCCCTGGTGTGCCCTCCTCACCATGCTCCTCTTGCACACCGGAGACCTGCATTTCCTACTCCCCATCCCTCCCAGCAGGTTTGGAGCATCACAGATCCACTGATGGATGCTCTGTTCTTGCTTCCTCCTATCCCAGAGCTGGAACACTGTGAATCAGCTGATTGCAGCTGTTCAAGTTCTAGGAGTGAGGGGGAGCAGTAGCAAGTGTGGGACACCAGTGCCCCAGTGTGCGGGAGGTGCATGGGGGAGGGGAGTAGACGGGGGAAGGGGGCATAGGATGCTGCAGCAGCTCACCAAGATGGAGGGCCACTCATATGGCTGACTCAGAGTTCTGTGTTGCCTATGGCTGCCGAACATATTGCCACCAGTGAATGTGCAGCATAGACATGCCTATCGTGTGGTACACTTGCTAATTGTCACAGTCATGTACCAGGAAGCATTTGTCTTCTGATACTTTTTCTTTTCTTTTTGTTTTAATAGGACAAAAGCCAAAAGTTTCAGAAAATGATTTTGAAGATCTGTTATCTAACCAAGGATTTTCAGCTAAATCTGACAAAAAAGGAACCAAGACAATTGCTGAGATGAGAAAGCAAGAAATGTCAAAAGATATGGACCCTTTAAAATTAAAGGTAGGATGTGTAATACTAAAAATAGTGGTTTTTATTTAACTATAAGCATAATTCTGTTACTTAGAACTATTGCTGGTAGAATGGGGGAAGATGCAGTGAAGGTTAAAAAAGAAACTGAAAGAGGTTCAAAGATGGTAGAAGCAATAACAACATTTTACATGTGTTTCCACCCATGTGTGGATTAACTTGGATGAACCTGTTGATCTTAATACATGAATGTATATCCTACTTGTGTAGTAGTGGGTGCCTGGGATATCAGTATGGAAGGGACTGACTTGTTCAGGAGAGAGGGTTAGTTCGGTATTGGCATGTTTTGAACTACAGATGATGGTTAAATTCCCCCCTCAAGTGTGTGATAAGATAAAAAGGAAAGTGTAACTTAACCTGGGGTATGGTCTATTACAGGCCACCTAATCCCAAAGAGGAGATGGACAAGGTTATCCTAGAACCGATCTAACATCCATTTCACAAGGAATCGTTACAAAAGGATTTTGAGGCTTTGAAAATGACTAGATAAAAATAACATGGACAGAGAAATTGAGCATGGGGGGAGAGGAGTGAGAGGACTGGAACATTCTGCAGAATTTAATTACAAGCCATAGCTGGAAACAAACCCATGTGCAAATGAGGAAAATCCTAATGTGCCTGAAGTGAAGTTTTACATCTAATGCAGGATTTTCTCCCATAGTGAATACAAGATCCTGGGTTTCCCATTTCATTAAAGAGCATGTTTGGCTACAAACTTGGCTAGACAAGCACAAATCGCGTTATGACTACAGAGAAGATAGGAGGGTGCCTTGCTAGTGTGCCAGCCAGGAGTAATCGGGTCAGAAGGTTTTCGTTGTTGTCAGGTCCACTCCTTGGTAGCTAGAGCCTTGTTATATTACCTTTTCTCCAATTCAGCGAATACCCCTTTCAGTGAAGGGGCTCAGGGCTATGGTGCTGTGATGGATGTGACTGATTATACAAAATTACATCTTGTGGAGAAGGAAAGCGACATGAGACTCACTCTCTCAGGGCGTTCTTCTCCCTGTGGCTCTGTCCCTCCATCAAGTTCACTGAAAACAGAGTATTAAATTCGTACTAAAATGACTCTTTCCAGTCTCCAGGGTGATATTACCCCTTTGTGTATTCAGGTCAGTTTTTATATTTGTTCCTGGTACATTACTTGCAGATCATGTTACATGTTAACCGTTTACTAATCAGTTTTGTAAAATGTTTTGGGGGTGATATACATAGTTCTGAACAATAGCAATAGCAATCTCAGGGAATAATTGGTGAAGTGATCTTATTGATGGAATATTTTAACCGAGATTTCTATTACAGTCAACTAAGAAAAGTGCATTATTAACCAATGGTAGTTCAAAGGGATATCGAGTACAGAAAAGTTCAATTTCTAAGCAGACTCTGAGTGTACAAGTCTCAAAGAAGACCTTTATGATCTGAAATGTACAAGTAAAGCAAGATTTCTAGCATAGGACTGGAGAACTTGTGTTACTATGGGATTAGTGTAACTACAGTTCATATTCTGCCATAGTTACTTTGTTTAAGCTCAAAGTCCAATTGTCTTGTTCTCAGTGGTGGGAGAGGAGTATATCTTCAAGCGAGTTGGAAGCACCATTTAAGACAACAGCATTCAATTTCAACTTCTCTCATTTTGTTTCAGATTCTAGATTGGATTGAAGGAAAAGAGAGAAATATAAGGGCGTTAATATCCACTCTTCACACAGTGCTTTGGGAAGGGGAGAACAAATGGAAGCCAGTTGGCATGGCAGACCTAGTTACCCCTGAACAAGTCAAGAAGTACTATAGGAAGGCAGCACTTGTAGTTCATCCAGATAAGGTGAGTGGTTTTCCCAGGGGCATTGGAGGCTGTTCATCAAACGGTTCTTACCAAATGAATTCTACCAACCTAAAAGGAAGATGCTGCCTGCTTTTGAACAGACACACCTGTACAAGCACGGTGGGGCAGGGCTTTTCTATTGCCAGGGGAGGGGGGGGGATCAGTCCATTTTTCTGCTGTATAGTGATTGTGGCATTGGCCTGTGTGACGTAGTGGGGGTACCTGGCTGGTTTCTATGCTGCTGGCTCTGGGGTAACCCCCACTGGCTGCCGTGGGTACCACGACCCAGCAAAACAGGATGAGTCACTATGCAAACCAGTGGCCAGACACCCCCCATGGAGAGGAACAAAGGAAGGTGGAATGCTACCCTGGCTGGGGGGCAGGGCTGGAAGAGAGGTAGTTAGTTGCTGGCTGTCTGTGAGCATGGAGGACACAGCCTAGGGACAAGGGCTGGAGTTTAGGGGCCCAGTCTCCCCCATCTCAAGGGGGCCTGAGGCATCCTAGCCCAGCTCTGTGACCAGATTACATCTGTGCTGTGCTGTACCCTGGAGAGGCAATAAACTCCCTCTATTCCACCGGCTGGAATAGAGGGTGGAATAGGGTCTGTTTGTGCCATTTCGGGGTGCAGGAGACGGGGAACCCCCAACACGCCGTCACAGCCTGTGGAGATAAGTACCTCCAGGAGAAGGCGGCAAGAGGGTCTCCGCTGCTGGTCTGGACCAGAATTGTTAGTGCTGTCAGAACCTGTTCGGAGGAGTGAATTGGAGTGGATTCCCTTCAGATACAAAGGTTGAGAAGTACTTTTAGCGCCTCATGTGTTGCTCAGTGCTGGCCCCAGCTGCATGGGTGCTTGCCAACCACCTGCTTTGCCTTCCTTCCGCTTGTTGTGTTGTGTTCTTCTGAATCCATAACTCAGTCATGAGGTGTCAGCGCAGCCCTGAACTCCTGCACGGCTCGGCTCCGCTCGGGTGGAGACCACGTCTGAGGAAAACCCAGTTACTGGAGCAGAGTTCTCTTAGGCACTGGACATCTGCCAACCAACATGCAGAGCAGCGGAAATCTGCTTAAATTCTTCTTCTTGCATGAGTCGTGTGGGGCCTCCAACTCTGAGGCCTCCCAGAGATGTGGATGGGGGTTAGGGCCCCACGTAATCCATAGCGCATCAGATTCAGCATCTGAAAGGTCCTGGCAGGAATTGTGTGGCTGCTCCCAATGAAAAATAAATAATTCAGACAGCACAGTACCCCTGTGTAAAGGGCAGCTGTGTCTACGATATTGTTAGTGCCAGCAGTAACACCCCTTTACCAGGATTGGGGCACTTTGCCCCTTGCAGGCTGTTTGTGATTGTGGGAAGATAGCCTGGCATCTGTTGCTCTTGGTTCAAGCTGGCATCCTTTTTCTAACAGCGGAGAGAATTGAGGACTTTAAAAAAAAAAAAAAAAAAAAAAAAAACCACACCACACTCAGATGCTGAAGAATAATCCCGCAGGAAGGTCTGAGGTTGAGGAATACATGAGGTGCCAGGTTTACACATCTGAGCTAGCACGAATTAAAATTTGAGTAGGCGGTGGATCAACCGTATTGCTGGGTATGCACTAGTTCCTCAGTCCAATTTAGGTAGAGTTTGGTGCTGAGACGGCACAACTTCCTCCAAAACTTGATGTGTGCTTGAGGCTAAAAAGTCTAGGAGCATTCACAGTCAGCCAGTTCAGCTAGGAAAGTTGGACTTGAGTATAAAAATTTAACAGCGTTCCTGTAAACAGCTCTTCAGTTGCATTGTGGGATACTAATGTAAGCACTGCCCTTGAGTAGTTTCTAAGTAAGTTTTGATTTCACTTTTGAAGAGCCACTTGTTGAAAATTAAGACCATATCTATGAACTCCTTTAAAACAAAAGGGAAACTTTAGTACAGCTTCAGTTTCATTGATCAAATTAAACTAAAAATTTGAAGTGATGCAGGCAAAGTATATTCCCTCAGTGCCTTTTATATCATGACTTTGGAGTATATATAAGGACTTACTTCAGGAGAAGAGAATTTCAGTATTTTGGTTTAAAAAGCCATTTTCAGCACATTCCTTCAACTTCTGCAGCAAGCTTCTAATACCTGCTCTGTTTTGTTTACAGACCACAGGACAGCCTTATGAACAGTATGCCAGAATGATCTTCATGGAATTGAGTGATGCATGGTCAGAGTTTGAAAACCAGGGATCAAAATCCCTTTTCTAGAATTTCGTCTTTACCGGATTTTCAAAATGTATGTGCAGTAAAATGGAACGGAATATTGTTGGTCTAAATTTCTTATCTCTAGGATTTAGGAAAGATTTGTGCATGATTTCAGCAGAGTTTGAAATCATGTGCTCAGAAGTGGATGACACATTTTGTAAGCTGTGGAATGCAAAACATATGCTCTCAGAAAACAACTGATCGACACTTGAGAATGCTAGGCTGAAAACAGATCTTTCCATTCAGGTTTAAAGGTGGTGAAATAAAAAAATCTTGAATAATGTCCACTGATTTTGGCATAATATCAAAATCATATGCCATTCCAAATCCACTGATGATTATTTTTTGGTGTAATGCTATAAAAAGCGTATGTCATTCCAAATCCACTGATTTTGGGATTTTCTTTAAAAGAAACACACAACCTCAATTTGTACTTTGTTTTCAATAGCTATATGATTTTATTTTTGATGCTTTGGTGCCGTCGCCTTATTCAGAGTGCTTTAGTTACATTATCAGCAGTGAACTTGCTCAGCATATCTTTTCATTGAATCTATAAAGAGGTGTACATTTTCATCTGTGTTTTGTGTAATCATTCTGATAATCGTTCTGTAAATAATTAAAATATTTTCTGACAATACCTGTGTTCTTTACAATGCATTTGACAGTTGCTTAGCCAAAAAGCTCCCAGTTTGGGGAAAGTCAGCCAGGGAGGGTTGTTCTTGTTTATTTTTTTAAATGAACTTGGAAACAAATCATAGCTTTAATATAAGGACTGCATGTTCTAACTTTGTTATTTATTATGAACTTTCGGAAGGCACCACTATGACTAGCCTATTTTCCTACTCTATGAATTTCAGCTTTCACTTGTATTTTTTTTCCAGTGGGATGTACCTTCCATTGGCTTTATAAATACCATACTAGAAAAAATGTTGACAGTCGTTTTATTCTGAAACTTCAGATGTGAGCACAAAATAGTTTACTCTGCTTTGATTTGTCTAACTGCATAAATGTTATGTAAAACATTTCTTGAACTTACGCTGACAGTGGGATACTTTTGTTGCATGTCTGAGAACTTGATTTTTAGAAGCTTGCGTGCCCTCAGCTATGTACGCAAAAGACAAACCAGTGTATAGCGTTAGGGTCATCATCTATTTGGTGTATGCTGTGTGAGTGCATTAGCTAGTGGGCGAACACAGCTCACCACACTGTTGTTTCTCATCTCTTCAGCAAAAAAAGGAAACAAAACTTGCCATGTTCAAGCATATGGACAACTGAATACTAATGACCAATGGGTATTGCTCAGTATTGTGTGACTCCTACTTCCTGGGGCTAGTTTGCCAATGTTTGTTAGTGATATTTACCTTTTGGTGGTATTTGTGCACTGCAGCTTTTCCACCCAACTGGCTTAAAAGATGGATTTTTAATCAGTTTGCCTTTGCATCCAGTTTGGATGCTTACCTGAGAGAGAAGCTGCCATGATATTAAGGTAGTTCTCTTACGAGGAGCATCTTCTAATTTTCCTATTGGGTTTATCCCACAATTGGCATGAATGAGGCTTTCCCCTGCCAAATCAACATCCCTGTGAGTGTGCTGGAGGAGAGATGATTTGAATGTGGGTACACTTGACGGGTTCCCACCAAATGCAGACACACAGCATAATTGAGCTGTTACCTCTGCATGTAATGTGTGTACATCTCTTGAGTTGCGGTGACCTTTAAAGAGCGCAGGATTTGGGAAGAGGATTGAATTCTGATCTGAAATGCAAAGTGTGGGTTTATGCTGGTACAGCTCTGAATTAGCCTTCATGTTTTCGGATTGCTCGGTCATGAAAAGAAATTGCTACCTTTTCCCATGCTTTTCTGGAAGCTAAGATTTTCCATGTTTGAGGCGTCTGTCTGTCTGTATACAAGGCCTATTTGCAGGAAATATAGGGTCCTGTTGGAAGAGTTGCAGTGCTAGGATTATAAAGGTTTTCACAATTCTGTCTGAGGCCAGGTAATGTAAATCAATATAAGTTGTATATGGGGATGAACCATTAAGCTGTATGCAGTTTTAAATCTCGCTGGGTCCTTTATAGGTCAGTTTTTCCCCTTTTACGTTATGGATTTGACAGCTCATCATGTGCAGTCACTTTGCCTCTTGGATCATCGTTGTGCAGGTTTTTGGGACCACCTCAGGGAGCAATTTTAAAATAATAAGAACTGGTGAGGAAAGGCAGGGCCAGGACCAGCAGCTGAAGTCAGTTTGAAATGTGGCTAGGTTCCCAATGCAGTGCCCTTGGAAGTCTGGCAGAACTGGGAAGTGTATTGCGGGTTTGTAAGGAAAGAGCAATTCTACCAGTTACTGTGAAGACTTAGTGAAGTACTGAACTGTGCAGAGGAGATGTGAATAATGAACAACATCGGATTCCCCCCTTAGCCTGAGAGGAAAAAGGGCAAAACTCACTTCCTGCAGCACTCCACAGCTGGCTATCTCCATTTAATGCAGTGGGTGAAGGGACTGTGATGGATGAAGTCTTTGGGGGATGGAAGATGCTGTATGGATGTGTAATTGGCAACTCTTGCTAGAGATACGGGATTGCCTTTGAGCTGTTTAGACGCAAGAGTGAGAGTCAGTAAAGAACTCTATTTCTGGTGGCGGTTTTCCAGAAATCACCGTGACTGTTAGTGCCACAGCCCCTGGTGTAGAGAGCAGCAGATCCCCACCCTAGCCAGGGACAGGAGGTGCCACGGGACCTTTTCATGCCAATGTGGCACAGCCAGGACTTCTGGGTTCCCATATTGAAAGACAGGGACCTAACGTGAGGCACCTATATCAGTAGCCTGCTCTTCAAAAGAGCTGCAATTCCTATGGAAGCTACTGGGCTGGCTAGCCCTTCATCTCTTGAGCTACCCAGCTTTTGGCACCCCTATTTGCAAACACCGGCCTCTGATTTTTAGTGTTACAGCAGAAATACCTCTGCACAGGGAACTTCAGTGCCGGTGAGGGGGGTGGGAGGGGCGCTGAAAGAATGGAGGGGCTGAGCTGATCCATCTCTGAACGAGATGGCAGCGAGCAACTTAAGTATTGAGAGCAGTATATGAAATATCACCGCTGCCTCCCCCACACGCTGGTTTCTGTTGAGATGTTCAGGTCAAGTTAGCAGCATTCTGAACTGGGACTGTGAACAGCAGAGGAGTGTCTCAGGAAGGGCTGTCCATATAATGCTTGCCGGCTCGACAAAGCTAAGCATGCGCTCGTGATGAGTAGTGTGATGGGACGTCCAGCCACATGGTGACTGTTCGGTGTCCCTTCTCTTTCTGGCATCTCTCCTTTCCCTAGCTGTTGTACTGGCGTGAGGTGGGCAGGGCCTGTTCAGGCCCGTTGGCCATAATGAGCAGCAGGTGGAGACATATTGGGGTGAGTCTGATTTGTAGCCCTTGACAGTGCGCAAGGCCCTGCTCTGTAACTGGCCCCAACGACTAGCGTGCATGGGCCTGTTACCCAGGAAGCAGTGCTATGGAAAGAAAAGCCAGCAGGGACGCTTTTCCCCCGCCCCACACTGGTACGTGGTCTTTCTGTTGGTTGAATGTTATGATGAATCGAACCTTTTGCTGCAACAACTGTGCACTACACAGCCGCAGTCCAAAAGCCGCTCCTCTAAATGCATGTCCTAATGTAAAACAGTGCAGCCATTTTGGCTAGTCTTTTCCTCAAGCCGGAGCCCGTGTGGAGGGAGCGTGCCAAGTGGCTAGTGGGCAGAGGAATAGCAAGGTTCAGAGCTGTCTTTCTTTTACTTGGAATGGCATTAGCGGAATACGTTAGCCAGGTATTTAACAGCAACAGGTGTGTGCCAGGCACTTGAGAAACAAGAGAGAACCTGCCCCTCCCTAGAAAGCTTGGAAGGAGTTGAGTGGAGAAATGGAAAACAACACACAATGTCTACGAATGAGATTGGGGTGGCAGCAGGGACCCCTCATAGCTCCCTCTGCTGCAGCTGGAGGAGAAGTAGACCTCTGACACTGCTCAGTAATCCCAGCCTCCCCAATGGCTATCTGTGCCCTGCAAACCCCTTGCATTCCTGGGAGAATTCCAAGTATGGAGAGTTGTCCCTGTAAGTGTAGCCTTTACAGTTCATAACGAAATGCAGTGCAGCTGGATGTATGGACTACCCCTGCTGGCATTCAGGCCTTCAACACCACTGAATAGATGCATATGGACCTTCTCGCTTATTAATTGCACAATTAGATGTAACTGGACTTCCCCTTACTGGTTGCATTTTTCTCTCCCCTTTCTCATTATCTCATTCCTAAGCATGATAACGTAAGAACAGCCATACTAAGTCAGACCAAAGGTCCATCTCGCCCAAAGGGAGTGAACAGAACAGGAATGATCAGGGGAGTGAACACAACAGGTAATCATCATGTAATCTCTCACCTGTCATCCATTTCCAGACAGAGACTAGGGACACCATTCCTACCCATCCTGGCTAGTAGCCATTGATGCACCTAACCTCCATGAATGTATCTAGCTCTTCTTTGAATCCTGTTAAAGTCATGGCCCTCACAGGATCCTTTGGCAAGGAGTTCCATAGATAGACTGTGCTCTGGGGAAGAAATGCTTGCTTTTGTTACTTTTAAACTTGCTGCCTCTTCATTTTATTTAGTGACCCCCTAGGTCTTGTGTTAAGGGACAAAGTAAATAACTTTTCCGTATTTATTTCTCTGAGTCATGATTTTATAGACTTTTTTATGTTAATTCTTTAAAATTAAAACAAGCACCCATTCCAACTTGTATGCTCTGTTAATAGTTCAGCCTGTGGTGCCTTGTCATCACAAAGTATTTAGCAAGAACAGGTGAATGAGGTAATATCTTTTTTTTGCACCCGTTCCGGTTGGCGTGAGAGACAAGCCAGAGCTCTTCGTGTTGGCCCAGTAAAAGGCATGACCTCACCAGCTTGTTTCTCTTGTATCCTGGGACCAACAGGGCTACAACTACACTACATACCAAAAAAATATTTAGAGCTTAAATCAAAACTGGCAGTACCAATGTGCACGTCAGCATTAGAAACAATCAGCTGCTTCCTGAGAAGCCAATCTCTATCACAGACGAGTTGGCCAGTTGAGGTAGTAACACATTGGATCTTAAACTTTACACTTAGTGTGTTGGCAAAAGTATTCTGTCTGCTTCTCTAATGCCAGAGCAGCCTCTCAAAGGTCACGTAGGGCAGACTGAACCGCATTGCTTTGTGGTCTGGATTTGGACTCCTTTCAGTTCTGCTGTGAATGCAAGGTGACCTGACCAGTTCAGGAATGCAGCCGCAAACCCTTGACACAACTGACCCAAGTCAATACTGTGGTCGTTCAGGACCAAACTTAAGATGATGTAGGTGTAAATCATTGTGGAGGAGCAGAGGTCAATAGTCTGATTCTAAACTAACTTAGTGCAAAACAATCACTGTCACTCCATTGACTGCAGTGGAATTATTCATGCCTTGGACCATCACCATCAAATGCAGAATCAGAGCCATGGTCTCTGTTCTCTGGCTGGCTTTGGAGTAGCCCTGTCGGCTTGCAAACACTTACCTCCAGGACCAAGGCTTCCCAGGATACTGGGAGGAGAGGCCATGAGGCAAGGGAATAGACAATGTGAA